AATGGTTTATTTGGTTTTCGTAATCTCTTTATTAGTAAGAAAGTTCATTGACTTTTTTTTGTTTGTATTATTATAGTAATCTTTTGGAAGTGTCTATTTGTCAAACCCTCTTAATATAGTCTCGAGGGTCCATTTTAATTTTTTTTAAGTTGCTTACTTTTGCTATTAGTACGATGTGTGGATTTGGGCAGATTTACTTATTTGCTTATATATCATGTAAATTGAGCATTCGATGATCTTTTTATATTATTATGTAATGTTAAGGACTTTTTTCCATTTTTAAGGGGTTGGTTTCATGTTTGAAGTAAACTAAGGTTGTTAATATTATATTTCTACAATACTCTGAATTTAGTGAAGGCACTAAAGAGTCTTTGCTAAAAACGCATAATGAGGAATCGTATCCGTAACTTCGTATACTATACTTGAGAAACACTTACAGAAAAGGGAAAATAGACTTGATAATAATAATATAAAGCGAGCCTAAATTATTAACATCACGATTTGTTCACAAGTGGGCTATATTGCGATGATTGTAAAGAACAGGAATACAATCCTTTAAGAATGGTGGGCTATATTGACTGGGCCGATATCGGCCCATAGAGAAAGACGGAAAACGTCATTACAACTGAACTGACCATAGAAAAACACGGAACTCGTCATGACCAAATGCATTCCTCGTTTAGGTTGGAGTTAGAATGGTGTGGTTGTCTATAAAATACGGAACTTATATGTGATGATAACAATTCAATCGTCTCGATTTATTAATTTTATAAAATCTCTTTATCGATATTTGCCACGGAGATGGTGGAGAATCATCATAACCTTTAATTATCACGATCATCTCAGACAAGATACACGACCGAAATCCTGGTCGGAGCTTCCTCTTGATCTCTTGAGTTTGGTGTTCAAACGTCTCGGCTTTGCTGATTTCCAACGAGGGAAGTCAGTGTGTTCTTCTAGGTCCTCTGCTTCGAGACAATCCGTGCCCAAAAATCAGATCCCTTGGCTGATTCTCTTCCCCGAACAAAACAAGAACAATAACAATTGTTGCACGTTGTTTTAATCCGGAGGAAAAGGACAAACTTTACAAAACACAAGATCTTGGTGTTGAATTTGGAAAGAGTGTTTGTGTAGCATCCTATGGAAGTTGACTCTTAATGCGAGATCTTCGGTACAATTTCTACATTCTGAATCTATTTACACACGAGATGATCGATCTACCTGATGTGGACCGAAAGTCGTCTGATGGTGTTAATATACGATCCCCAGTGTTATGGATTGACGAGAAAACCAAAGATTACGTTGTTTCATGGGGATTTGCAAGAAGTTGTGTGGTTTATTCCAAGAAAGGAGATAACTTGTGGAAGCAAATCCCCAAAACTTCACATTGTATTGACTTGGTTTACAAGGATCACAAGCTTTACTTCCTAAGCTACTCTGGTAGGGTAAAAATCTTCGACTTTTCTGGAGAGATCCCGCGAGAAACCTTTGAATGCAGTGTTATTCTGAGTGGAATGGAGTTACCTCGTCGTTGTCGTCGACTACCTAATTCATGGTGCGTTTCTGAGACAAAACTTGTAGTCACAGTAACTGGAGATATCCTCAAGGTTGAAAAGTGGTTTAGACCTAGGTCTGGAATCTGGTCTTTCCGTCTCTACAAGTTTTATTCATCAGGTTTCTACAAGAAACCTGAGCAACTTGACTCTTTGGGCGATGAGGCAATGCTTTTTGATAAAAGGCATCCCTGTGCTTGTCAATGGCTTGGAGGGAGTCGAGAGAAATGCCATCTATTTCACTAGGAGTCATAAAAGGAACAGAAAGGAGATCTCACTCTTCAATCTCGAGACACAAAAGTTGGAGCAACTACACGTGTTTGATTGTTCGTCCATTCAACTCTCTAGAGCACGATGGTTTTTACCAAGTTTCAAGCAAACAATGGTTGATCTCAAATCTACGTTTTCCCTTTTAGTATGTTTTTTTCCCAGTTTTAATCAATATGTTCGTTTACTCTCACTAATTTTGACTACATACATTTTGTTACGAGGAAGATGAAAAAGAGTCATGAGGAAAACAAGGGTTAATTTGTGTGATAACCAAAAAAAAAATTGTAATTGACAATCTAACCAAAAACTCTAGATTTTGCGATATAGGGGACTTTTGGTTAGATTACCAATTATAATTTTTTGTTTGGTTATTGATGCCAAATTCTCGAAAAACAGTGCTCTTTGTTTATGTGTTTCTTCCTTCTCGGCGAATCCAAGGGTTGCTTATTAAAACAACTCTCATATGTGATGCTCATCGGCCGGGTCGTATCTGTTGTGGCCGCGTCATGATGTTATTATTTCCTATCCGTCCAAGTTGATGTCATCTACATCTCCGAACTCTTCTTCATTCTTTGGTTCTGGTTGTTCATTTTTCAAGTCCCAATCCATCTTCTAAGTCTCCTCCATGCTCCAAAGTCTCAAATGCTGCAAGAAATGCAGAGAGTCAGATGCAGCATACCAAAACTGTATGGTCGGCCAAGTGGTACAAAAAAACAAGAAAAATAGTTAAAAAGCACTTGATTACGTTGTACCTGTTTAGATTCGAAAACTCATACCCAAACCACTTGAGAAATTCAAGCCCAAGTACACAACTCTCTAAAAATACCCTTATATTTTCTTTGTTAAGGGGGTATTCGAAACTGAATACTAAAATATTATACAAAAAAGTTTTATTCTCTTAAGCTTGRGACATATGTGGTGTCTTAAGTCTCTTTTTGGTTGTTTGGGACCAATTTTTCTCTGGAATCTCTCCGATTTATCTTTGGTTTCGGCCGTTGTACGGCGGAAATCATCTTCAATACTCTTTCTTCCTTTTGCTCTCTACTTCACCACCAAATTTCTTCTACCAAACGTCTAGATACTCCGTGGACCACCCTTGTTCAGCCTGGAGACACCATCTTTTTACCTTCTTTTTTACTACCTTCTTTTCTACTCACTTTCCACGTGTCACGGTAGTTTTTCTGTCCCTTTCTCTCTCTTGTCTTTTATTCTGATTTGAGCGCTGCAGAGCCATCAGAAAACACCCCCATCGTTTTTCCGAGAATTTCATGTGTTTTATGTTTGTTGATTGTGCAGAAACGGACTCCATTAATTTTTTAAAAAGATTAAAATTTTCCGAACGAATTACAAATTTTGAGTTACAAGCTTAAAGCTAAATGGTGTATTAGAGTTGAGTTAGTGTTTTAAATCTTAAATGGTGTCGTTGGTTTATTTCAATGTAACAGTTTGTATATTTGATTAAGGTTATAATAAATGTTTTTATATTACTAGCAAAGACATTTCAGAGAATCGCAATTCTCAGTTTTTTTTTTTAAGTTTGTTTTTTTTATAGTTATTATCAATTTAAATGAGAGAATGTTATTTTAGTCTTTTAGTTCTAAAATTGTGGTTAAATTGAAACATTTTAAAAAAGTGTGTTATTATATTTGGAAACAAAATTTGATTTGGTGATATTTGTGAGAATTTTCCTTAATTATAATAAATGTTTTTATATAACTAATAACCCTTTTTATGTTAATTCTGCCTTTTATAACACATACAATTGCCTTGAGGTTGCTTCGCTACAGCTCTTTAGCAAAGAGAGAAAAGAATAAAGAATTCTACGGGAAATCGGAAACGTCGAAGTGAGCCGTAGTACAGACCTAGTAAGATGAGGAGATAATGGGCGAAGTCCTTTCTATTTATGTTCAATCGCTCTGCTCGCGGAGAGCCCGACCAACTTCTGCTCCAGTCTTCTCGGTCTGCAAGCCTAATTCGGATTCTTTTTCTAACGTCCTACCTACAGGCGCATAGGAGCTAGTTTTCCAACCGCGGAACAATATCTTACACTTAGATTCCACCATAGTGCTAGATTAACTAGGCCTTCCCTCCACTAAACAGATTCCATCGTAGTGGATAGAAGTTTTTAGACTAAGGGCAGACCGCAAGGGCAAATCTTAGGCATTGGTTCCGAGGACGGTAGCCTACTGAGAATGAAGGAAGAGAAGCGGAAGACTTTCTAAGAATATTTCCACGATCATATACCGGTCTTAGTGGACTGACAGAGTGAGCTGGAAAGGTTCCGTCTTTCYGGGGAAATTCAAGAGAGCTAGCTTCGGTCTTAGCTCACCTAAGAAAGGACGGAGCTGTCGAGTAAGGATTGGCCGAAGTCAGTTATGTACCTGGGAATCAGCCAATCAAAAATAAAGTGGAAGAGACTTTATTGTATATGATAATAAAAGGGAGTGGGAAAGCTGCAGTAATTCTTTGGAAAAGCCCGGTTCTCTTTGTCTTCGAGCTTTCATTTTTTAATCCACTCTTTCGTTCCTTCATATACCTCCCCACCAATAGATAGAGACAAATAGGAATAACCAAACCACGTCTTATTTCGGTTTATGAAACTGTGTTTATGTTTTATTTATAAATAAAACAAATTTATAAAAACCTCTAGCTTTCTTCGGGATTTAGCCCGAACTGTTCGGCAGATTCCCACGCCTTACGCACCCGTTCGCCACTTTGTTCACAACTCTTCCCATGCACTTGCGACGTCCCCGGCATAAATGCAAGGAGGATGTATAGCTGATATAGGATCTTGTGGAAGGAAATTAGGCATTCGCAGTTGCAGAGCTATGATATTTGTCATTTCGGATGAAAGCGCTTGAAACCAGATCCTTTCTTATCCCAGTCCATCCATGGAAACACGGAAAGTGTATAATTTCTAATTTTTTGAATTTCATTCTAATTAATTTCATTCTAAGAATAACTAATAATAAAGTTAGAGAGTAATTTAGAAAATAAAATTGAAGATTTTTATATTATAATACAATGAATAATGATAAGTCGTCTCTTGAATCGCCAAATATATATATTTTTTCCCTTTTTCGAGAGAGGTTTAAGTCATCTTAAAAGAGTCCTCGACTGTATTGGAAAAACAAAAAGTCCAATATGGTGGGAGATCTCTAATTTGATTGAGAGCTTTCAATCAAATTAGATTGTAAAGTAGTAGTCCTGTGTAAAAAAAAGCTGGTGGGGCGGGGTCCAAGCAAGCGTAAGGGGAGGGGGACTAGGGTGGAAGGGTCGTCGAAGGAGATGCATTTCTGGTACAAGTGGTATTGGACAAGATCTCAGGGAATCATCTCTCGAGTGTCTTCAAAAACACTGCGCCAAGAGACCAAGCGGAGCCTCTCGGTGAATGTGGTAAACAAATTGAAAGCCATATCAATCGGTATAAAATGACAAACCTTTTGGTATGTACCACAAAACACTAAGAAGGACCCCGCCGGTTCTACTCTCCTTGACCCGTCAAATTTTCTCTTTTTTTCAACATAGATTTGCAGTCACAAAATATAGAATCCAGTACAAATCGGAACCATTAACTATTGACTATAAATTCATGACCGTTTTTGAATTCAAATCTACTTTTTATTATTATTTCTAATAGTATAAGAAAATCATTAAAAATCAATCGAGTGACTCGACTGACGGAAATCAAGCAAATGAACATCCCATATTCTTCTTCCCTAAACCCTGACTACACGGAAGAAAAAATCTAACGGGTCAAAATTAGCAACTAGATCAATAAACGGGCAAATCCATCATCATAACCTTCGGGAGGTGGAAAGAAAACTTCCCAGCCTGACTAGCCGAGCATCCCCCCACCATTTCAAATGACTCGAGCGTGTATCGATCAGCTTGAAGTGCGTAGCTGGCTTGTGAAAGCATGGAAAGGTATCCAGAAAGCACAGTAACAGCTATGATATAGGCACCCTCTCACCTAATACCCCCTCTTAACATTACACCACTGAATCCCCAATCCTTTGCTTGCTGTGCAGTGACAGTACCAATATCCACTAATCGTTGTTTCCAGATACGGTTGCCGGTTGACATCTCTTCTAATTCATCGATACGAGAAGCAAATTGTTGTGTGACCTTTTCTCTGAACTATGGCCATAGAAAGGAACTGAAGTGGATGGACCCTATCTTCGGTTATCAATCGATCTAATCTCTTCTGTCCTATGTACATTGTCGCATTCAGAGGGGGTTTTTACATATTATTTCGATCATTCCAAGYGAGATGAAACAATTATAACCTCTGCTCATCTCATTAGGGGTGAATACTTTCTCTTTCTGCTTAGAGGATAAAGCAGGCAGCCTAGAGAATAAAGAATAATACCCAGGAGCCCCACCCAGGTATGATAGGTATCCGAGAGGCCAATTAATGATACCGATAAAGCAAGGTAACTTGCTCGAGCACTTACTGACGCTCTGCCCATTCACAAGGACTCGATTCTATGTCCAAACATCACATGCCAGCAGATGTGGTCACCATCATAGGGACTCAAGATATTGTGTTTGGA